GCATTCTTGGCTTTGTTACAGGCCACCTCCAATGAACCCAAAGTTGCAGTTGATGCTAAATATGTGTGCAGGGGCTGGTGGAACACCCAGCATCCACAAGGTGTGCAGAAGGATGCCTTGGCCAACCATGACCTTTGGAGGGACATTTGGGAACACAGACGCAGAGATGTCAAGATTACCAAAGTTAAATCCCACCAGGAAGAAGCCGCTTTTCTGCAAGCAGAGGAACAGGACCTTCTGTGGGCATGGAAAGCAAATGAGGCAGCAGATGCAGTTTGCACAGTTTTTGCTGGTGACTATGCTGCTCAGCATATACATCCTGGTATTGTGGATTGGATTGGAAGCTCAACAAGTTTCTGGCTGAAAGGGTGAAACTCTGGTTGACAGTCAACTTGCCCAAGGCTGCTAAGCAGCCAAAGGTCAGGAAGGCTGATCTTTTGACTGGGGCGATTGCAAACCCTTTGAATGGTCACTGTTGGAAGCCCTTTGGAAAAGGGATAATGTGCACCAAGCGTCAGCGCGGTCTTAAATCTCATAATGCCTTGGCCACCATTGAGAGTGGGCTCGCTCTTGCTTGTACAGGGCTGCAAGGCATTGGAAAAGTTGAGGGAGCCAAAGTGCATTTTACCCACACCCTTACTTGCATTACACCTGGCAAGAGGCAGCGTGTCCAGTGTGAAGGGGTCAAGTTTGGCAGGGGCAAGGTCAGCCAGAAATTGGCCAAGCCATGGAGGCCAAGAAAGGTATAGAGGACTATGCCATGTCTTGTGTGTCAAAAAACGGATAGGACTTATTCAGGCTGTATTGATATAATAGATGAAGTAGAGAAAGTAGAACAAGTAAAAATAACCGACAATAAAATTAAAAAATGTTGTTATTATTCATTAGAATTAGTTAAGTTAGTAATACAATATATCAAAAATAAAAATGTAGATGTTAATATAAATGGGAAAAAAGAAAAACAAAAAGAATAACACAGAACCAGTTGTTTCTTCAACTGATGAAGAAAAAGAATAAATTGTTAAAGAAACATCAGTTATTGAGTTTGCTGTGTAAAAAGATGTTAGAGATGAAGAATGAATTAGAAATACAAAAGAAAGGAAACTGTAAATGCCCGTGTATTCCAACAAGTTTCAAAATAAGTAAACATGATAAGAAAATGATTATTGATAAAACTAAAGACGGTGATTTAAATTTAGAAACAGACGTCCATAATATTGCTATACGCTTTGGGAGGGGAGTTACTCCATCCGATAATGGTGATAACGAAACACTGGAAACTATACTTGAAATGATGAAAAATTAGTATTTAAAGAGTAGATTTAACATATTTGAACCATTTAGTGTTAAAAGTTTAGTTTTATAATTTAGCATTATATGGAGGAACATTTAGAGACCATTGACAGTAGTTTGGAGTTGTTGTTTCCAAGATTTGAAAAAGTGTTGGAGCAAAATGAAAACATACTGAAAATCTTAAAGAGCAATGAATATTAAACCTACATATAATGACAATAACAATTATCAAGCAAAAGAAGTAGATAGAGACAGTAGCGAATACAAAAATCAACGAAGCATTTATGTTAAAAAACTTAATGAACAAGTCATTAAAGAACCTAAACAATCAAGTCTGGAAGATACCAAGAAATATGTTTAATCATTAACTAACCCAAAAAAATCGTGTCTCAAAAGCGGTTTGTTTATTCCTGCTACTCTGTAAGTTCTCCTTTCTGTGTAATTACCCCTTTTCTTTTGGAACACTTTTACCTTGTCGTTCTCCTCTATTCTGGGATAAATTATTTTGTTCTTTTCTCGTAGTTTCAGATTGACCTTTACATTTATTTCGTTGTCGTCCTTGTGTGCTTCGGTCGGTGTCATCCTTGTTGATGAGTGTACTGTGCTGTTACACTCTTTCAATGCTGGTGTTAGGGCATCGGTCCATTTCATCTTGTTAAACCTAACTCTATCGTGAATTTTGTTTTTCATCGTCCTAATAAACGCTCGGCTACATTTGCGTGGGTCTTAGTGACAATGTGATTTATTCCCTCACTTTCAAAAACTTTTGGACATTGTCTTTGTTAGCGAAAGCGCCATGGTCATCAGAATACACGGACATAGGATAACCCATCTTTCTAAAACTTGATCTTAATGCTGTCTCAACATTTTCACCATCTCTATTGAACATAGGCACTACATCCGCTAATTTACTGAAAATATCAATTACAACTAAAGCAAACTCTGGTGTGTCTTTATCCTTAACAAGCGGTGTCATGTGCATTATGTCTGTTTGGTATTCATATCTGCCAAACGGTGCGGTGTAGGAATTGGTGCCTCTATAATTTAATTTGTTTATTTGGTTGTTTCTTTAAGAAAGACTTTACATCGTCTAATGTTATTGTTGGGTCTTCTTCCTTTGCCTTCTGATGTGTCGCGTGTGTGCTTCCGAAACCCTCGTCTAAGTCGTAATAGATGTTGCTGATTACTTGGTCTTTTGTTAATCTCGCCATTATATTAAATTGGTAGAACATATTTTATCAACATACACCCCCACCCCTCAACATAAAATAATATATACTTAAAGAAATAACACCTTATAATATTAAGTGAGAAAATGAGAAATATTAAGATTGAAGAACTGAACTTTGAAAATGTTGGAGTGATTGCTGACTTATCAAACTGGACGCTATCAGACGAAGAAGATGATGATAATGACAGTTATAGAAAGGAATTAGAAGAAGAGTTGAACAAAATACAGGATTTCATCAAAAGACACCCTTTGCCACCAGTTGATGAAAACAAATAATTCTGGCAAGATGTCATTAACAGGTCTAGGGATAATAGTGGATTAAACTTGATGACAATATACTCTTGTGTTAGGTTTGACACCATTAATGAATGAACACCTAATAGGCGAAGACATCATAAAAGAGTGTGGTAAAAAGTTAAACCTAGATGGAAAGCTTGAAGCAATGATTATTAACCACTATATACTATCAGGCGCGATACGGAATCTAAACAAAGAAGACAGTCTAGTAGATGGTCAGATGCGAATTATTGAACACTGGTGGGATGGAATAGGTGTATGGAAAGCGTGAGTGATTTAGTTTAATGATATTATTCAAATATAATATGATTAAACATAGTTTTTATAATCTAACAAGAAGGTTAAGACATTTAAATTAAACCTGAAACCCAGACTGCTCAACCAGCAACCCCTACCCAAAACTACTTAAAGAGAAAAAACCTTATATATTAAGAGAAAAATGAGCGAGGGTAAAATGACTGAGAATAATTTTATGGTTGAGAACTGGACTAACTTACCTGTTGATGTATTAAAAGGTATCATTTCATGTAAATTAGGGGAACCTGAGTATTTGAAAATAAAACAAAATCAAGTTAAGACATTAAAGAGAATACAACAACGATATAAAATAAACAGAACAGAAACAAAAAGAAAGAGAAAGCGCTATACTCTTGTAGCTGGTGATGATATTAAGAGACACGTATTTGAGTATTACATTTCAAGAAATATACCTTTAAGCATTAAAAGCATCGAAGATATAGTTTTTAATGAACAGGAAAACTTAGATTGTTTGTTAGATGGTATTGTAGGCGATGAAGGTTATAAAGTAAAGTTAATTGTTGAGGCAAATTTATTTGTAAGGTTTCATCATTTCAATTATTCTGAAGACGGCCGTTTTAACACTTTTAGTTTTCATCTTCTTAGTCATGATGTTGTAGATAATGTAACGAAAGTTAATATAGAAGATGTACTGAGAGCGGCGCACCAAGAAATATACAGTTGTATAAATAAAGAAAGAAGTAAAATGAATTTTGAAGGTGTAAAAAGTCTAAGGTTTAAACCAATTGTTGATGAACCAGTGTAATTCAAAACTAAACCATAATTATAACATTTATATTCTTATATGTTATAATTATATCGAACTTTTAACCTATAAATGAACATTATTCGTGAGAAAACGCTGACAGAACAAATGCACCACCAACACCCCAGAACTTGATAACTACTAAAAGGGCTAACTCTTTCAAATGAAAAAATGTCAGCCCCCAGCCCAACAATGAACAAGGCGACAATTTACGCAAATGATTACCTTAACGAAAACGATATATAAGCTCCCCAAAAAGCCTCTTTTAAAAACGAATAAGGTGGTTACTAGGTTTGAGATGAATGTAAAAAGCATAACAGGTAACCATCAACAGGCTTCCCCTCAGCTAGCCCCTTTTTTCTATTTGTTTTTTGGGGGGAAGCAATGTTTTTGGTGAGATGTCGACATTTTTTTGGGAATAATGTCCCCAGAATTAGCTCCCCCTTTTTTGTGGTTTCTCATTTTTTGGGGTCCCTTTGCTTTCCACGAACCAGGCAAAAAAGATACTTTTTTGCTGGGGTCCTAATTCCAGCCGCGGAGTTTGCTCCTTGTTAATGTCCTGAGCTGTACCCTGAAAAGAGGGGGCTCGGTCAGACGGGTCGGATTCTTGCTTTGGGGGGATCCGAAGGACCCCCGGCGGCAAAGGGACACTTTTGTTGGTGGTATATCCCTGTTTTCGGCGACTTTCAAGGGACAAAGGGAAAAGCGGACAATAAAACAATACACCCAGATGGGGAAGGGGGGAATTTACGACTAATCATTGGGTTTTCCCTTACCTTGACTAAATGTGGCTTTGAAGTACCGCATAACGCCATGCTCATTTACTTGGAGTGTGCGACTGCCAGAGACCAAAGGCGTAACTCGAGGACCTTCCGTCAAGCCCAGAAGCTTTGGGGATGTGCTCCACGTACCTGCAGAACTATTAGAGCTTTCCACAGTGTGAGTTTTTTTAGGATATCCTTTTCAGGTTGGGTTAGAGTGAAGCAACATGAGCCCATGAGCCCCACACCACTTTTCGGAGTCCCAGATTTGTTCACATACCTTGCTTGCCCTTTGGTTACAACCTGTGAACACTGCCAGAAGCAAGCCGTGGTTTGCGAAGAGCCTAACCGTGTCATGGAGTGACTTTGGTATCAGAGAAAGGTCGATGTTCCGCCACCATGTCAGCCTTGAGAAACATCAGGACTCCTTCCCAGAGCCTTTCCAGGGTGACGGGGAGATATGGCCGTTCCAAACCGTGGACTCCCCCGAACTGGTCACCAAGAGGTCTACGTTTTGGAACCAATTCGTCCAATTTCCTGCGAAGCCAACCCGGAAAAACCCGGGGTCCCGGACCCGGGTCCCGGCGGGTGCAGCGCATTGCCAGGCGACCTCCGGAGGGATGGCACAAGTTCGATCTGCAGGTGCAGAGGCCTGTCTCGGCGAGACACAAATTAATCGACCTCGACGGTCGTGAGATGCCACCTGCGGGTGGATTTGTTTTTTGTTGTTTTGTTTTGTTTTGTGTTTTTTGCTTCGCGGAGAAGATGTGCCACTTGCGCGGGGCTGAATTGGTTTCAACTTCAGCCGGTCTTACTTCGGTGACGCAAGGACAAGCCCTTCTTCTGGCTGGTGCGATCGGTAGGAGTCCGGGTGTTGGTTGAATGAACCGGTTTTGGGGATTCCCGAATACAGGAAAGCATAGGATGGATGGAGGGAAGGACACCAACCATTGTGAGGTTCTCCTATTTGGGGACAAGGGCTGGGAAGGGAGAGAGTCTCCAGGTGAAGATGTGGACCCCTGACACATGAACCTTATCAGCGGGTTGCCTTTTTAAGTTGTGGTTGCGTTCAGAGGGACACCAAAACTGATGAGTTGTTCGGATTTGTTAAGCAAAAGTCAACATGAGTTGCGGCGTGTTGGCAGCACGGGTCCGTTCTTTGCCCGGAGACCGGTGTGCAGAATGCCCGGCGGAAAAGCAATGCCTGATTCCTCGATTTCGAGATTCCCCTGAGTGGCAAAGCAGTCATCAAAAGTTTGCCCGTTTTGGCACGGGTCTTATTTGCCGCAATGGGCTGTCGTGTTTGACGAAAATCTTTGGTGGCTACCAACTATGTATAACGCCCTGGTTGATTTTGATTGTTCATTGGGGATTTCCAATGAAGAGGGGATCCAGATCTCTCTTGGGTACAGCCCACTTAGACCCCCAAGAGCACTCAAACGTTTAACGGGTTTGGGTGGTTTCCTTTGGCTTCGCATTGGGACAACCCAAATATCTTTTGTTGGAAATGTAGGGGGGGGATATCCAAAGGCTCCGAAAGGGATCCCAAAAGGGGCTCGGAAACTTCTCAACTGCTCTTGTGACCTGGGATCCCACAAAACAAAGCACCTAAAGACCTGGGGCTAGGGCCTACAGGCCTTCCCATTTTTTTGTTTTGCTTTAAGACCGCCCAAGGACCAACGGGTCGTTCAGCCCGCCCCAAACGGGTCGAATCGATCCTTGCTTGCGCAGGAACGGCGAGGGCGACGAGCGCCTGCCGACCGCCGGGGAGTCTCAGTTTTGCTTTTGGGATTCCACAGCAAAGGTGGACACTTCCAGTTGCTGAAATGTTGTTGTTTTCTTTATATATACCTGGAGTCTCCATGACCCTTTAAAAATAGGTCCATGACCCCGTTATTTAGGGTAATGGCCCCATTTTGAAAGGGTCATGGAAACTCCAGGTACTTTTTTTGCTCCCCTTGTTGATTTTTAAGGCAATCATTTTCATTGCTGGACAAATATGCTCTGATGTTTTTCAGGAACCTAACACATCTGTGGAACCCTTATCTGACCCCAAAGAAACCGCGGTACCGGCAAAATCCATGGGCAGCCCACAACTGACCTCCCCCCGAGGCACTTTTGAGCCCCTATTTTTGAGCTGGGGTGCAGGCGCAGGCAAATTGGTCGACGAGCTCGACGATAGGGTGAAACGAGCGAAAGCCCATGAAGGCCCTCTCTGGGGGTTCCCTTATTTCCGGTTTGCAGAGGGTTGGCTTCTAGCACCAAGTCACTCTGCATCAACCAGACCCCCCCCCCCCCTTCCTCTCCGCCCCCATTCTGGGGAACATCCCCGATTGATCTGCCACATCATTGAGACAAATCAGAGCAATCTCCCGACGGTTTCTGCTGGGGCCATTTCTTATTTCAGGCGATTTTATGAGTCACATAGTGATTGAATGGTGACGCGCAGCGTCTGATTCGATCAACTCAGTTGGTCAACCCCAGACCAACAGGAAAGCAAGAGTAAACATAGGCTCAAACCTAAACCAAAACTGCTCAATCGGCCATTGAACGCTGGCTGTGATGGAACTGATTGATGAACACTCCGACACACTCTCCTTCTCTTTTTCGTTGGGTCTAGGTCACTGTTCTTGTATGCACCATCCTATGAGTGGACCCGGCTCATGCATTTCGAGTCTTCATCGCCATGATTTTTTGTTTGGGAAGGGTCGTGGTGAGTATATTTTTTTCGGGGCCACTTTCTGCGATTAATGGTGACGCATTGGACGGGAACCCACGAAACGTCATGGAAAGGAATGGTTGACCCGTCGAGGCCTACACCTGCTTCACCCTGCTCCTGCTGCCACGCTATTCCTCTGCTCAGGCAAAGCGAAGAGGGGCATGGAGGCTTGACATGTGGTTGCTTGAACAACGGAATCCCCAAAATGGCAGCAAAAGGTAAATGGAAACAAGGACTAAAACCAGCGTATCCCCTAGCTCTGTTATTTTGAGCCATACCCGTTTCCACGGTCAAGTTGTCGAATTGATCGTTGCAAGACTGCACAACAAGCTGCCCTCGCCAATTTCCAGAATTGGGGGGGCGGTTGTAAGGCTTGTGAAGGAACCCTGAGGATTGTTAGGGAACCCAAAAAAGCCCCAGGGCTCTCAACTACCCAACAATTTGCCTTGTTCGGATGCTCTGCATATTGTTCCGGAGCTGCCACGTACGTGGTGGCAGGCCAATCTTTTCGGGAAGCGGATGCAGTGATGGTGCCTGCAGCCGGCGTCTGAAGCTGCATCTTGCAAGTTGCCTGCCCTGTGGCTTTTTCTTCTATAGCTCCACCTTTTGTGTAGTCACTTTGTCCAATCAGGTCCCTGAGTACTTGGATTCCTTGACAACAGTTTAATGGGAACCGGGATGAATACATCCCTGGCTGATTGGTGGCGGCGCCCAATGTAGATCCGGACTGTTGCGATATATGTTTGAACTCAAAAAGGCATGCGCCATTCTGGGTGTCTTCTGGATGGGTTGCACGACTCAACAAATTTATGGTTTGTTGGTCTGACGGGACACATTGCTCATGTGTCCAATGCTGCCAGGGTATGTACTCTTTGCGTCCATGCCAAACCTGCACACAAAGCGGCCACTTGACGACCCCCATGGACCCAAGTCCGAGAAGACAATCCCAACACTGAAGGATGCCATGTGTAGGCGTCCCTGTGTCCCTGTAGAATCCGTAGAAGGAACCAAAGGGGGCAAGAAGGGGCACAAAAGGCCACGAGACTTGTCCGGCCTGCACAGCGATTGAAGTGGACATCTCAACAAGCCTCAACAGTAGGATGAAAGTTACGAATTCAGCCAGTCGCTTGGAGATGTGAACCGCGAGCTGGCCCCTTGACACTTTCAATGGCCCGTTTCGCGGTGCAGGTCATGCGCGCACGGCTTCTAGCTGCCATCAACGAGACCGAGGCCCGGCACTTCAACTTGTCACACTTTGGCAGGTTCACCTCTGAGATGTTCTGTTTGGTGATACCGTGGATGGTTGCCAAATCCGCTTCTCGCACCACGAAACCATAACGTTGACTTTCAGGGGAATACTCATTCTGTGCAACCAATCTTGTGATGGTCAAAACCAACCGTTCACTGAACAGCCCAGAGGGGCTATGCCAACCAGTGTGGTTTTGCCTCCACGTTTCTTTGAGTTGTTCTGGCTTCTTGACGCACAGTGCACCTGCCAATCATTGTCTTGACAACTCTCTTGTCCAAGTCAAATCGACCTTTTTACCTTTTCCTGGAGCTTCCAACATACCTGCAATTTCTGCCTCCCCTGTCAATCGGCTGGTTTTTGAAAAGAAGTGAGCACAAAAAAATATCAATGGAAGGTCCAGGTTGTTTTGCCCCTCACTGTTTCGTCAAGATCCCCAAAGGCGACTCGCAAGCGACCTTCTTTTTCCAAGAACCGCGGGCGGGGCATCCTTGCAGCCACGCAGAAAGTCAAAGCTGTGAGACTTGTTGGGTGTTGTTTTTTGATGGTACCCTTTTTGGGATGTGGTGTAAAGGGAAACCAAACGGAAAACCAACATGTTTGGGGGATCCAACCGGCCCGAACGTGTCCGAGCTTATCCAACCCCCAACGATGTGTCCAAAGTTTGGGGGCTCGAAAATAGCTTGCCTTTTGCATTCCTCACTTAAGCCACAATCAAAACCTGGGTAGATGAAGGTTAGTATGGGGCAGTCCCAGCCAGAAATAGTTGCGGCCGCCTTCTTAATTGTTTACATGGATTCTGGGTAGACCATTTTAATACCGGGTTTTGATTGTGACTCACTTCCCGAGTTCCGTGGCCTTGAGCCACTTTTGGGGTTGCCATTTCAGCGTCATACGACTGTGGCCACTTTTCTTTTGCCAATCCGCTGCTCCAAAAACGGAATACCCATGGAACCAAAAGGTCTTGTGGAAAAGACGACCCAGCGGATGTCCCTTCCATTTTGAGCCACTCCACTCGATCGGTGCGTCGTGACACCGAGCTGTCGAAGGGCTTTGGCCTCAGCTGATGTCCGGCAATGACCAGTGCTGGGCCGGAGGTTGACGCGCGCGTAGCACGACTCGTAGCAGCGTAGCAAATGTTTTTTTTTTAGGGGGCCTCCCAAACCCTCAAAATTGTGGTGCTTTCCTTTTGGTTTTCCTGTCAAACCACCAAACAAAGGAAACCTTCCAAAAGAACACACCCACATGATCCCACCTGTTGAATCAAGGAGGTGGACCCTGGTTTAGAGCACCTCACAAATGGTTGGACACGAATGCCCAGCTGTTTGATGCCCGAAGAGTGCCCAATTCAATTTTCCGACATATTTTTCTTGCAGACCTCAAATTTGGGCGTGGCTCCTTCTTTGTTTTCAAAATGGTGCAACGTTTTTCGTTTTGGTTTCCCTGTAAGAGGGGGATGAATCATTTAAACAATTTATTAATATGCATGTGTCCTGCCCCCCCCCCCCATTTATTTGGCCAGCTGAGTTGACAAGCGGGACATCCATTGAGTCACATGTCAAACGAGCTCGCCTGAAATGAAGCCAACACGAAGAAAGCCCAGCCCAGGTGATTGGGCTGGGTGAGCCATCAAGATTTGGGGAAGAAGAGAAGGGGCAGATGGTAAGTTAGCCAATTGGGGTATAACCTGTAACAAGGTCAAGCCTGCTTAGGACTACCTAGGACTACGTATCAGTGGGTTATAATCTATGCCAGCTAACTTCCTATCTTGGCGAATCGAACACGCGAGTAGGATCCCTAGGGGCAAGTTGATGCTATCACTCGCACGAGCGCGCCTAACAATTTGCGAAACCGCGGCGGCGAGTCAGTTTTAGTTGTTTTTTATTTTTCGGGCAGACACTGGATACATGACCTGCCCCTTTGACCGCAAAATACATAGGGACGGCATAGTTGCGTTCCTTTAAAGCAACCCCAAGACCGGTACCCAGGAAAGAAAAGGGACGCTCACCTTTGTTCTTGGCGTTTGTGGTGTCTTCAAGCTCCAAGACCTCTACAAAAGCCGGACCTGTGATCCCTGAAGAGGTGGCTTTCAGGTTGTGGCAAACTCTCAGACTCCCCGATTTTGCACTGGAAGAAGCGGCTGAATTTCTTGGCGCCCATTTGGTTGCAACTTTGGAAATTGACTTTTTGAAACTGTGGATTTTCCATCGGACCCAAAAAAAGGCATTTTGCCGAGGGGTCAACAGCAATCAAGTGATTTGGGCGCGCCAAAAAAAAAAGTGCGGGAGCAGGTGTTGGTCGTTTCCATCACAGGTTCCATGTTGGGCAGCTATTTTCACACCCATTTGAGCAGGGCTCCTGAAAAAAAGATCTCCATTTTGCCGATTTGAACCATGGCCTTTTCAACACCGAATTAAAGGGACACCACCATTTACAAGTTGCAATGTTCAGGTGTCTGTAAGGATCCCTGTTGAGGGAGCCCGGTTGGCGACTTTGATTCATGATAGAAACAAGCCAAAATCAATCGCCTCTCAGCAAATTTATTCTGAAAGCAAACAGTTGGAGAGGTCAGACTGGATGCCGAGTTCCGACGCCATGGGCGGAGATCTTTGCCAATTGGCTGAGGTCGTCCCCACAAGTGCCCCATTGTCTTGGCGGCTGAGATCTCACTTTTTACTTTTGCCAATGGGGACGGGCTTGAATCCTGGCTTCGGAATCGGTATTCCGCGCCCTTCGCTCGATTCAAAGCCCGGGGATTCAAACCACCCTTAACACAATGAGGGCGAACATGTAACCACCCGTGTTATTGGTTGGTCAGCAAAATTGGTTCCCATAGCCTGGGAGTCAGTTAACACCAGTAAAACAAGGGGGCGAAAATACAACCACCGTTGTTTACCTAAGGACTGTCATCATCCAAATTGGGTCAACCTTTCGTTTGATGGGGGCAAGGAACCCTAGGGAAAGGTCACAAGCTTCACCGGTAGGTTCCGTTGTGCTAATGTGCTCCTGACCGATCTTCCAGACACAAAAAAGCGTGCGATGCGCGAGTGGTTCGATGAATTCTTGCGGACATGAGCAACGGTTTGGGGAGGCCCCTGGCGGTGTTTGGTGGTGATATGGTTGCTGACACGTCCTTTCCGGAAGGAGGCATTGAACTTGTTTGGCCATTTCAAGCCTTTTCCTTGGAATGAATTGGTGCAAGGTGTCCACGGGAATCGTCATGACAAATCACAAGCCGCCGTGCTACTTGCTGGCTCGATCTGCCAGGTCAACTGATCAAACAAACGCGATTGTTTAACCGCGGCCCCAGTTGTTTTACCTATGAGTTCGACTGGTGGGAACACCCTCAAACATGTTTGGTGGACACAAACCCCCGTGATTTGCTCACCAAAGGGTCCAACCAATTGAAGAACGTAGTATCAGGGTCTAAATACTTGGAATGGGGCTTGGACCAGTTGATCACACGCATGTGGCTAGGTGCAAGGGCGCTGTGGGGCAAAACATGTTCAAGCCCGGCCCTTTTTGGCTTTCAGGGGAAACCCAAAGGTGTTAAAACAATCATGCTTTGAACGTGTTCCTTGGGGTTTAACCCCGCAGGAACAGAATGATTGACGCACAAGTCCTTCAGTAAAGAATGGTGGTTATATATATATATATATATATATATGCTACCCCCCCCCCAGGAACCCAGGTTTGGGCTTGGTTCAGATGTGCTTTGACCGCGGAAGCAGGCAGGAAGAATAGCTCAGATTTGGGAGACCAGAGGAAGGAGGTTTGCCTCATTGAAGAAAGACACCTTGGACGTGACCCATGCCTTTTTTCAATGGCTCTTCCACACAAAATTCAATTCACATACCTTCCCACACAAACCATGCCTTCTTTCAAAGGCTCTTCCACAGATAACTCACATACCTTCCCACACAAACCATGCCTTGTTTCAAAGACTCTTCCGCAGAAAATTCACACATCCTCTCACCCAACACATGTCTTTTTACATGTCTTCTTTCAATGAAACAAAGGCAGCATATGTGAAAGAGTTGCCAAGGAAAGTGAACCCTGTGTAGAATATAATCAGGCTATGGCTGGGACAGCTTATGTGACATAAATGGTGGTTTTACATGATATTTACTGTATTGTGCTGTACTTTTATGAATCACTGTAACCCTGACTCTTCCACAAAGACCCACATATCATCTCACACAAAACATGTCTTTTTCAAAAACTCTTCTCTACAGAAAATTCACATATCCTCTCACCCAGAACATGTCTTCTTTCACAAAGGTTCACATATCCTCTCACCAAAACATGCCATTTTTCAAAGGCTCTTCCACAGAAAATTAGCATGTCTTCCCACACCCCTTCTTTCAAAGACCCTTCCACAGAATATTCACATATCATCTCACACAAAGCATGTCTTTTCAATAACTCTTCTCTACAGAAAATTCATTCATCCTCTCACCCAAAACATGTCCTTTTACATGCCTTCTTTCACAAAGGTTCACATATCCTCTCACCAAACTCTCACCCAAAACATGCCTTTTTGCATGCCTTCTTTCACAAGGAATCACATATCCTCTCACCAAACCCATGCCCTTTTTCAATGGCTCTTCCACACAAACTTCAACTCACATACCTTCCCACACAAACCATGCCTTCTTTCAAAGGCTCTTCCACAAATAATTCACATATCTTCCCACACAAACCATGCCTTGTTTCAAAGACTCTTCCACAGAAAATTCACACATCCTCTCACCCAACACATGTCTTTTTACATGTCTTCTTTCAATGAAACAAAGGCAGCATATGTGAAAGAGTTGCCAGGGAAAGTGAACCCTGTGTAGAATATAACCAGGCTATGGCTGGGACAGCTTATGTGACATAAATGGTGGTTTTACATGATATTTACTGTATTGTGCTGTACTTTTATGAATCACTGTAACCCTGACTCTTCCACAAAGACTCACATATCATCTCACACACAAAACATGTCTTTTTCAAGAACTCTTCTCTACAGAACATGAACATGCCTTCTTTCACAGAGGTTCACATATCCTCTCATGCTCCGCAAATGTTGCGCAACATTTGGAATTTGTTGCGCACCATTTCCCTGGACCAAAAAACCAAAACCAAAGCCAAAAACCAAAACAACAAAAAAACCGAAGAATCCCAGCCATGGTGGGGGCTAGGATTGTTTTTGTTTTTTTTTGTTTTTTGGTTTTTTGGTCCACAAAATGGCCTTGCGGAAAATGCATGAGTTCAATCAAAACACACTGTAAATATCAATGGTTTTGATACATGATGCAACAGCACCTGGGTACTGGGGGGGGGGTACCATATATGTATATACATATGTACAAATATTTGTATATCCTGTGATTCAATGGTGGTTTGAACCTCAGGGTGCTGAATCAAAGGTGGTGGCCCGACCCTGGTCTAGAGTTGGAAATGCGGCGGAGTTGGCTGGAGCTTTCGACCGAACCAAGACGTCTCCGGGCGTTTGTCAGTCAGCCTCTGTTGCTTGCTGGCTCTCAGAAAATTGTTTGAGGCGTTTTGGGAATGAACCGGAAGGGGAGCCTCTTAAAAACCACACAAGGTATGGTGCAGGTTGGGGTCATTACAAGTCATTCCCTTTTGGCTTGCAGACTCAACAAGAGGGTGCTTCAAACAAAACGTTGGCCGTGAAGCGACTTTTGGAGCGACTTTTGGTTATTCCAGTCCGCTCAAGTGAAGCAATCCAGCTCGGTTTGAAGGCTCAAAGCCCTGTTTGTGGGTCGAAATCCCTTGGTGTGGTGGGTTCAGGATAGAAGGGTCCAATTCCGTTCGGGCTGAGGTCGCCCCATCGATGAGGCGATAGGAACCGGATTGGGCAGAGTTCCGAGCCCCGCACAACCACCCAAAAAAGCGGTACCCTGTGTCAAGATCTTATTCCTCGTCGTTTCCTTAGGAAGCGATATTGCACAAAGATCTTGATTCCGAGGATGTTGCCGCGGTTTGGAAGTGCAATTGCTAGGGAAGCACACCATCCCGACCTGTGTCTCTTCTAATCTTCGTAGTTTGGACCTTTTAA